CATTCTGAATGGCCAGTACCCAGAGCATGTGGGAGGAGGGGGCTATTTTCATTTTTTAGAGCCCAGACCACTGTGTGCTGGCCCACTTGAGTAACTGAATGGGTGCCTTTTTGAGGGCAAGGGCAGGCTCCAGCCATAACTGACCTCTCTGCCCTCATCTCCCAGTGCTCTGGCTCTCTCTGATTTCACTCTGGCCCGGTCAGTCTACTTGCTATTCCTCACACACACTACCATGGACACTGCTACCTTACGAATCCCTGTGCACACTGCCTGCAACGCTGTCCCTCCCGACCCGCCAACCCCACCACACATACACCCACCGGATCCATATCTCACCTCTTTCAAATCTTCGCTTAAACGCCACCTTCTCAGCAAGGCCTTCCTTACATCCCTCCTCACTGTATTTCCCTCCCTGCTATTTTTCTCTCTATAGCACATCATCTCACACCAATTAGTCTACATACTTCAATGTTTTTGTCTCTCTCTCCCCACTATTAGCTCCAGGAAGGCGGGGTAGAGGTATTAATATCCCCAGTGCCGATAATAGTGCCTAAAATAGGGTAGGCATACAAATAAAATTTGTTAAAAAATCAATTGAAATTAGGGAGGCTGACACAATGATTTTGAGGTACCTGGAATATAGAACTAAAAATTTTCTTACACATCTCAGAGTCTTCATTTATGAAAGAAGGACACACCTGCTTTTTAAATGTTTTCAACATCCTCTGAAAAGAAAACCAAGTCCTTAATTTGATTCGAGCCATATTTCCCCCTCCCTCCCTTTCCCCCATTCTACCCCCAGCCAATTCTGGATGCCTTTTTTTTTTTTCTTTTCTTTCTAAAGATTGGTATTCAGAAAGTCATGAGAAACCTGCATGAAAGAATGGCCATGTTTTGTTGATTATAGCCATAAACTCTAGAAACAGTATATCCAACAGGGACTTATTCAAATACCAATTGAATTGGAACCTCCTTCTTCAAGAATCCTTCTTTCAACAGCCTTTGTGCGGTGAAATAGACATATCCAGTGGGCTGCTGGGTTAATTACAGCTCTGCATAACTCTAACTGTCCCAGGGGGAAGAGCCCGGCTCGCCTGGCCTGTCTAAAGGTGTCACTTGCTTGACTTCCTTCTTGATCTCCTTATATTATTTCCAGCCTGCCCTTCCTTCCCCGGGAATGATTCCCTGTAAAGATATCCAGGAAGTTTGCAGGCTGAAACACACTGCTGGGGGTCAGATCCCCATGGCTTTTCTTGCTGACACAGACTACTAGACAATGCCCTTTGTTGCCAGTTTGGCTGGAGGGCAAAAGAAAGGGGAGCAAGGGGAGAACCAGTTCAGATGCTGCTGTTCCAGGTGGGATTATAGACCATCTCTACAACCACAGGCTTCTATTTCTCTGCCTCTTTTCTCCTGCTGATTCTCTCCCCGCCTCCACCCTCTTTCCTTTATCAGACTGCATTGTGCCCGCTTACTGACTTAAGTCTCTACATAACTACACCCAAAGCTTATCCAGCCTCAGTTTACATACACGTCCAGGGATGAGCCGGATGCTGTGTGGGCCCAGTCCATGTTTAGATAGCGTTGACTCTAGGAAGCATATTTTATATATGGAAAAGAAATCTGTCACAGTACTAACTGCTGTGGCCAAATTTAATCTCCTCTCTCTCTATTGAGCAGACTTCCAAACATCCAGATCCAGTGATTCACCTTGACCATGAGGCTTTCTTTACCTTAAACATCCTTATTTCCATCTGCCACATCTCCTGGGTTTTGAGTTTTCACAGTGGGGTGGAAGGTCAGATACTAGAACTGGTTCTCTGATGTTCCTTTCTCTGTTGGGTGGGGCTGGCAGTGGCCAGCTGAATAAGGTGCTGAGGTCATCCAGGAAGCTTTGTTAACCACTTGGTTCTTATCCTAAAAGACTTCAGAGATTGGACACGGGAGGGGGGATAAAAACCAATCCCTACCAGCCACTGTAAATACCAAATACCATTTAATACTGTTAGTTTTTTCCTCAGGCAAATAACACTGTTGCTAACATTAGGGTGAATCTTTACTAAAATGTCTAGGCCATTCTCGCATCTACCATTGCTAAGCCATGTGTCTCATGCTATCCCTGAAGAGCCAGCCCATCACACTGTGCTAGGCTTATTTCCAGACTGAGTCTCTAAAACCATGAACTGGCTGGGCGTGGTGGCTCACACCTGTAATCCCAGCACTTTGGGAGGCCAAGGCAGGTGGGTCACCTGAGGTCAGGAGTTCCAGACCAGCCTGGCCAACCTGGCGAAACTCTGTCTCTACTAAAAATAAAAAATTAGCCGGGTGTGGTGGCGGGTGCCTGTAATCCCTGCTACTCGGGAGGCTGAGGCAGGAGAATTGCTTGAACCCAGGAGGCGGAGGTTGCAGTGAGCCTAGACCACATTACTGCACTCCAGGCTGGGCAACAGAGCAAGACTCTGACTCAATTAAAAACAAACCAAAACAAACAAAAACAAACCACGAATCAGATCTTATCAATTATATGGCAAAAAACCTTCCAGTGGCTTCCCTCTCCCTCGGGACATCTGAAATCCCCTATAGCCTGCAAGCACAAGCCGTGCTCTGGCCTCTCATGCTTGCCCTCACTGATATCCAGCTACTCAGGCTTTCAAGAGATGCCAAACATGTTCCAGCCTCAGGGCCTTTGTTCTTGCTGTTCCCTCTGCCAGGTAGAGTTCTCCCCCAGATTTGTGGGTATCTACCTGCTTCTCTTTATTTGGGCCCTTCCTTAGAGAAGCTGCCCCTGATCACTCTATCATAAATGGCACCCACGTCACACCTTGCTCTTATCTCCTTAGCCTTTACATTTTTCCTCCATATTCTTTACCATCATCTGACATTGTATGCAGACACCACGCACATTTCTTCACCGCTCACCATTCGTACTAGGAGAATCAACCCAGAAGTGGCTGTTCCGTGATGAGTGTATGACTGGCATGTAACAGACACTCAAATACTTGTTGACTGTATGAATGAGTTTTCTTTTTTAAATTCTGACTTGGCCATCTGAAGCTATCTGTTTTCCTCACAACTTTCTGCCTTCTGCAAATGTGGTGCAGAATAACTATTATCCAACTACTGACGATAATTTCATATAGGGCAGAGTCCCATGACATAACTGTAGAGCGACCATCAACTCGGACAGTTCAAGAAATTCACCAATTTGCTGCAGCCACTCCACAGATTCCCACCGAATCCACAAAGGCTTCACAAAAGACCTTGTTGTAGACCTTGAGAAGAGGGAGTAAGACCGCCCTTTCCACTTTTGGTATCCGCCTAGTAAGCTTGTTTAAAAAAGGCGCTAAGCTCCAGTGACAAGTCTTAGTGACCTGACTCTTTGAATCCTGCTTCCTCTTCACCAGCCTGCTCCATGCTGACCGGGTCTAGGATCTGTAGAGCACCTTACGCTCACTGACCTGTGGCTACCGAATACTCCTTTCTCTTTAAAAAGTTCGGAGTGCATCTGCTCCCCTCTAGTCTCCCAGCCTCTCTCCTGATGTCCCACCTTTCTCCAACATCTCTGGCAGGGAGGGGTCAGTGATTTCATTTACAAGATCTCTCCGTATGTGGGGAGGTAACTTGTCCAGGTCAGGAAAACCTGAGCTCATTTAAATCTTCTTGGATCTAAACTCCCTTTAAACCAAGAAAATTCTTTTTTTTTTTTTTGAGCCGCCCGCCACCACGCCCGGCTAGTTTTTTCTATTTTTTTTTTTTTTTTTTTTTTTTTTAGTTTTTTCTATTTTTTAGTAGAGATGGGGTTTCACCGTGTTAGCCAGGATGGTCTCGATCTTCTGAGCTCATGATCCGCCCGTCTCGGCCTCCCAAAGTGCTGGGATTACAGGCTTGAGCCACCGCGCCCGGCCAAGCCAAGAAAATTCTATACTTTTCCTTCTAAAGATCATATTCTGGACAGGAAGGTAGAGCAGGAGGTGAACCTCTCTGCCTTCTCTGGGTCATCCATCAATACCACACCTTCCGTCCAAGGACAAAGCCTCCCTCTTTTCTTAATCTTGATCAGAACATAAAAAGCAAAAACTAAAACAAAATTACGCCGAAAACCCTACTAATCCTTAGGATTTCTGGGAGCTTCGGTTAATGCGGACACTATTCTCCTAGTCTGGGTCACATATTTTCCTTCAAATCGCCCTCACTGGTTGTCGCATGTAAGCCCCATCTCTCCCCTTCACCAGAGCCGACTATTGAGTCAAAATAACAACTCCAAGGCTGCTGGAGTCTCTTGGCGTCCTCCTTCAGCCTCAAGCCTCAGAATCTTCTTGTCTTCTCTGGCGCATGTCAGATAAGTCCTCAACTTTGTATCTGAAGGTGGGGTGATTACTTTCTCCCGCTCACATTTCACCAAGCAATTCCTTTTTGGAAAGGAGCAGGACAGAATTAGACCTTGCTTCCTCCTACCTCTAGGAGAGGAAATACCCAACACATGTCAAGAATCTATCAGAAGTGCTGGCTTTGGACCCCAGTCCCTCTAGCAGTGGAGATTAAGGACAGCCTCAAGCATCAAAGTCAGGCCTGTGAGATGTCAGTGCTGCTCACCTGCTTAGTATTGTGATATTTTGTTAATTTACTTACTCTTACCAGGGCTTACTTTCCTCACATATAAAATGGGGATAATGAAAGCAATCACCCTGTTAGGCTGTGTAAGAATTAAGTGACATAGGCCGGGCACGGTTCACGCCTGTAATCCCAGCACTTTGGGAGGCCGAGGCGGGCAGATCAGGAGATCAGAAGATGGAGACCATCCTGGCTAACACGGTGAAACTCTGTCACTACTAAAAGTACAAAATATTAGCCAGGCATGGTGGTGGGCACCTGTAGTCCCAGTTACTTGGGAGGCTGAGGCAGGAGAATGGTTGGAACACAGGAGGCGGAGCTTGCAGTGAGCTGAGATGGTGTCACTGCACTCCAACCTCGGCAACGAGCAAGAATCCATCTCAAAAAAAAAAAAAAAAAAAGAATTAAGTGACATAATACAAGAAACTTCCCACAAAAAATCAAAGAAGTAAATAAATACACTGACACAAAAAGTATTCAATAAATACTAACAGTTAAATTTTTGTTATGCCTCCAATATGGCACCTGTTTCCCTCCCAGTTGATTCCAACCTAAACTCACTACTTTCTCTGCCTACTGCATCAGATTTTCATCCTAGGTCTCATCCCATCAAGTTTCAGTCCTACCCAATGAGGTTATTTACTTGGCCAGAGGCAGACAGAGGTTTTCTGGAGTCTGAAGCTTAAACCCTTGTGGAGGGTGCTTTTTAAGAAAATGAATACGAAGTTATGAATATAAAATTAGGTATGAGGCCTTGGATGAGATCCCAGCAAGTGAAGGGCCTTGAGGCTTTCAGCTATTAGCCCGGGTGAATCCACCTCTGTTTACACCCTTTTTATGCCTGGTGCAGTAGAGAGATCAAAGGCTGTGTGGAAGTCAGACGTTTATCTCAATCACTTTGGAGTCTCTATTTCCTTGTTTGTAAAATGAAGAGAATAATGTCTCATTTAGTTCCCACAACCAACCTAGGAAGTAGATAATTGTTTTACATTCTCTTCCATCAGTTGCCAAATCTCACTTATTTGATCTCCAAGATGAATTTAGTTCCTTTTCTTCTCTCAGCCCCCACACTGCCTACTCTGAGTCACCATCCTCTCTCACCTGGGTAACAGTCTCTCCTCGCTGCTGATCTTCACTCTGGCCTCCCTCAAGCTGTCCTCCACACTGCTGCCAGAGTCATCGTTTAAACGACAAATCTGGTCATGTCTATCCCTGCTTTAAATGCTCCACTGACTCCCAATTGATCTTTTCAAGACTAACTGTACACACCCGCACACACGCACACAATCTGTTACTTAATGTTTTTGTCTCACACTAATGTTTAAAATCAATACATTTTATTTAACAGGTATTTTGAAATTGTGAACAGATATTATTCACTTTATTTATATATACGTGCATGGAATAGCTATAGAATTGATCATGTATTTTGTCCACAAAGAAAACCTTAACCAGTAGAGGAAAGTGGAGTCTATAAAGGTTGTATTTCACCTTACATTTTAAGGGCAGCGAACATGCCCATTTTGTTTGCTGCCGCATCCCAAAAGCCTTATTCACTACCTAGCAGAGAGTAGGTTTTGGTAAATACATGGCAAAGGAAAGAAAAAATGAATGCATGAATAACAGATACCAGTAGCTAAGCTGCTTTTCACATAGAAGATACTGAAATTCACTATGACAATGTTCTGAGTATTCTTAGATTGAGAGGCAAGAATATAATTACTGCATAATTATTATTTCATATTAATCATTAGGTACCAAAAATGTCCTCCTTCCCATGACATAACAATTTATTCCATATCAGCTGGTTTCATGGTCTATCGAGAAGTGCTTCTTCTTCTTCAACATGAAGGACTCTTGTTTGGGTGGGCGTCCCTTTGGGTTACCTAGTTTTCCTAGATGTATAAGACGTGTTCCCTTGCTGGTTAAGAGTCTGACACTAGTGTCATTTTAAAATCACTGACCACACAGAGTCAGCTATCTCTGTTTTCTCCACCATGTTCCAGGTCAAGACGATATGGTGAAAACACCACTTGCACCGCCTATCCACCTCTACCTACCTCCTGCCCGAGACTTTCCGTCCTAAATGTGCTTCCCTGACTTCTGTTCCAGGCTCCACAGTTGTTGTCCCTCCCTCTACCCTGCTGGAATCCCTCCTGCCCACTTGCATGGGGGTATACAGACAGCTGGGGCTTGCCTCCTGGAGCAAGAATAGCACGATTACTCAGGCCCCCTCTCAGCTTTGTACTGCTGGAGAAAGTAACATGTGTTGTATGTCTAGGGAAACTAGGCTGTCCAGAGGGACATCCACCCAATTGCGAGTCTTTGTGGTAATCCTGATGACCTCCCAGGTTTACTGCAGCAGCCCACAGACCTGCAGGGAATATGAGGCAGAGGATCCTCTTCATGGGGCCCCTCTATTCCCTGATTCTCTCCCTCATTGTCAGAACGTACTCCACTGGCAATTACCTGCAAATTCCCACCAATTATCATCAGCCCAATGACCTCAAGAGGCCAGCTTGTAAGCCACCTTGGAAATAAAGAAGAAAATATCCAAGGATTTTACCTCTCCTCACATTTCTCCAGCTTCTGGCCAATGTGAAGGAATTTAACATGCCCCATAGCCTGTCCCAAACTATGAAGCCTGATTTTTCATTGGGTCATGAGATATTTTGTCTCCTACTGAGAGGTTTCAGGCAGTTGTGAGCAGCCTGGAGAGACACCGTTGGGATAGTCCTTCCAGACCTCTCCAAATCATGTCACTATATATGTCACAGAGCCGAGTGGCTCCTCCAACCTGCTTTCTCTTCAGTAAAGGGAGGCAGAAGAAAACTTCCTGAGGCCAAGTCCTTCTGGTGTTTTTCCTCTCACAGTTCCAGGACCAAACTGAGGTGAGGGCAGAGGGTTGAGAAAAGCTTCATTCAACCTCTGAAAGTCAGTAGAAGTAGGCTGACTGGTGTGCTTCCTTGATTTTTCTTTTCTCTTTCCCTCTCTCTAAAAATGGGAAGCAGGAGGAGCTAAGGATGCCATAAATGAGAAGAAAGATGCCAGATGGAGGGAGGCAGAGGAGGTAAGAGAGATAATGATGAGGGCACAATGCCCAAGTGCAGAAATAGAGGAATGGGACTTGCTCCTCCAAAGTGAAACAAGCCGTAAACAATAAAGAAATCCCAGAATAACCGACATGAAAATTTCTCATCCTGTTATCCAAGACCCTGAAAGTGTATTAACCTAGACCCACCTCAACCTCGCCGACCTCATATTCCAGTTAACCAGAAAACACACTCCTTTTCCACAAAACCGTGCTGATTACCATTCCAACTACCTAGAGCATCTTTCTCTGGCACTTTCCAAAATAAACTCATACCTTAACCCCAATCAATGCCAGCCCTCTTTGGACATCTCTGGCCCTTATAATATTAGGTAATGAATGCAACCTTCTAGCAGACTAATTGTACTAGCGGTGAGACCCTAGGCAAGTTACCTAAATGTTCTGGGCCTCAGTGACCTTATTTATGAATAGGATGATAAAAATGGTACTTACTTTATTGTGCTGATGCCAAGATTAAAGAACGTGGCTTACGTGAAGTGCTTAAAAGTATCTGGCATACAACAAATGCTCAACAAATGCCACGGTTTATCACACATTCTTGTACTTGACTGTGTGTTGCTCTGAGTGACTTGGGGATAGATTCATAACTGTCTCCTCTGTTTTCTCAAGCAGGCTAGGAGCTCCTAGAGAACAGCTGTTATGCCTAAAACCTACTTGAGGTACTCCAAAGCTGTGCACATAATAGGGACTGAAAGAGTTCCGGAAGAGCAGTATCACTGAGCATCTACCATGTGTTAGGCAATGCAATAGATGGTGAAGAGACAAGAACGAAGCTCTGCGGGGCCTACCTCAGGGTCACAGGGAGTGTGGGAGGAGGCAAACATTTTCTAGATTAACACGCCCCCCCTTTCCTGTGCCTGCTCCCACATCCTTTGGGAAGAGGCTGGTGGCATGCTTGCATTTGTACTCAGCACAGCTACAGATTTGTTGAACATTGTGTTTTGATTAAAAATTAATAGCTGCATTTGACCCACATGGATTAATTTTACTTTCTCTAAGTATCCCCTTAATTGACAAACTACCATTAGGTGAAAGAACCAATTAAACTGAGCAAACTACTCCCTCCGCCAGTCTTCATCCTCCTTCCTCCCTCTCCATGGTGTCCTGCCTGAATGTTTTAATAGACTATTTCCATACTAGCACAATGAGATTAATTACTCAGCAAACACAGAAGAACAAAGGTGGGAGGTGTGCTCCATGCGGTGCCAGGCCTTGCTCAATCTACCAAAGAGCAAGTGGGTGAAGACCTGGGGAAGGGAAGAAAGACAAGCGATCCACTTCCATGACCTCCAAAGATTGAGAAGTGTGGTTCATGTCAATTAATTGGCACTCCCAAGCTTATCAGCCATCAGAGGCTGCTCAATGTGCTGATTTATCACAGTTTGGCAAAACTCCTTGATCAACTCCCTGGAATATGCTGGCAAGGTTATTCTAATAACAAGCTGGACAAAGTCCACTTCTTATGCACTGCAACAACTACTCCAACGTCCTACCAAGGGGACATGAAACTCCTTCTCACGTTAAAGTCAGAATGTTAAATGGGAAGACTATGCTTATCTGGGTCTTAAGAACAGAAAAATACAGCTGGGCCCTAAAGAATACTTTCTGCTATGGTTTCCTACAGGTTTTTACATTTTACTATTAGAGTGTCTCTGTGCTCCTTTTTAAGGCTCTGCCAAAGTGAGTGAACAGGAACACTGTACCTTTATTGTGGCTGGAGAGCTCCAAGAAACTTCTACTAGAGATGGGTCCAAAACAACTCACTGCCCTGAAACAGGAGATGTGTAGACCTAAACCCACCTTTCATCTGGAGACTCACAGGCCTACGCCTTTCTAGTGAAAGTATCTGAAACCAACCAAATTTGCCAGTTAAAATTTAGGCACAGGTAGTTGGAGAACCAAATGAGTGATGATTGACTTTGTTCTCCCCAGCAGATTTTTTTTTTTTTTTTTGAGACGGAGTCTCACTCTATCACCCAGGCTGGAGTGCAGTGGCCCAATCTCAGCTCACTGCGACCTCTGCATCCCGGGTTCAAGCAATTCTTCCTGCCTCAGCCTCCTGAGTAGCTGGGACTACAGGCACCCGCCACCACACCTGGCTAATTTTTGTATTTTTAGTAGAGATGGGGTTTCACCATATCGTTCAGCTTAGTCTTGAACTCCTGACCTCAGATGATCCACCCACCTTGGCCTCTCAAAGTGCTGGGATTATAGGTGTGAGCTACCATGCCTGACCCAGATATTTTTTTTTTTTTTTTTTTTTGAGACGGAGTCTCGCTCTGCCGCCCAGGCTGAAGTGCAGTGGCCGGATCTCAGCTCACTGCAAGCTCCGCCTCCCGGGTTCTCGCCATTCTCCTGCCTCAGCCTCCCGAGTAGCTGGGACTACAGGCGCCGCCACCTCGCCCGGCTAGTTTTTTGTATTTTTTAGTAGAGACGGGGTTTCACCGTGTCAGCCAGGATGGTCTTGATCTCCTGACCTCGTGATTCGCCCGTCTCGGCCTCCCAAAGTGCTGGGATTACAGGCTTGAGCCACCGCGCCCGGCCGACCCAGATATTTTTTTTAGTGGCAAGATCCAACGGTGAGACTAGGAGATCTATCTAGATTAATGATCATGCCATGGTTGTACATGATTACAACTATAGGATGTAGAAAGAAGTGCAGGAAATAACATTTTTTTAAAAAAATTGGAAGGCCCTTAGAAATGATTTACTTGGCTAGTTTCTCCTCCAACATTTTATTATGAAAAATTTCAAACATATAGAAAAGTGGATTTTAGAGTGAACACCTATATACCCACCACTGACTTTATTAACACTGTACTACGCTTACTTTATCATGTGTCTCTCCATCTAGCCAGCTCATTACGTATTTATCAATCCATCTTTTTAATTGCCTTTTCAAAAAACGAAAAACCCTAATCAAACCCTATCTGCTTTATTTTATTATTTTTATTTTGTTTTTGTTTTTTTGAGATGGAGTCTTGCTCTATCACCCAGGCTGGAGTGCAATGATCTAGGCTCACTGCAACCTCCGCCACCCAGGTTCAAGCAATTCTCCCGCCTCAGCCTCCCGAGCAGCTGGGACTACAGACGCGTGCCACCACACCCGGATAATTTTTGCATTTCTCATAGAGATGGGGTTTCACCATGTTGGCCAGGCTGGTCTCAAACTCCTGACTGCAGGTGGTCTGCCTACCTCAGCATCCCAATATGCTGGGATTACAGGTGTGGCCAGTGCACTCGGCCCCTTTCTGCTTTAAAAAGCTATTTAAAAAACACTTTCTCAAATCATCTTTTGAGAAAGGGCAATGAAACGGATAAAAATCAAGCTTCTCGGGTTGATGCAGAGTTAGAGTTAGGCGCCTGATGTCCTGACAACTCACGCCCACCTCCACCTGCCCCCAGGTGCCAAGGAGGACCCTGAGAAATGACAGATAACTCCTCACCTGGCAAACAGACCTGAGAAGGGTGTGGTTCTATCCTGCCACACCCTTGTTATGTGTCCTAGGGTAACTTATCTCATTACTGTTCGGTTTTCTTGGAAAGAGGAGATGATAATTACACAAACCAATTCAAAACTAGCAACAAATTCCTGGTACATAGTAAGTACATGCTTTCTCAATGTTAGCTGTTACTATGATCATTACTAGTATTAACAACATTATCATTACCACCATATACCTTAGAGAGAATGAAGCTTCAAAGCGGATGCGCACATAAGAGGAAAATGGTGGGAAGCCTGGGTGGGAACGCAGGGACTCAGATCCCACTGCTGAGCCCATCGTCAGCCTTTGGTAACTAAGTCAAGCTCACAGTGGTATATAAATGAGAAAAACCCCTGTGTCCTCCTTCTCTCGAAGGGATGGTTTAAAGATTAAATGGGAGGGTAAGTACAAACATTCAGGAAGCAAAATTTCTGCAGCAATTCGAAGAGTTCCTATTGATACTATTAAAGGTGTTGTTCCAAGCACTGATGAGCTGTGATAGCCACGATGCCACTTGAAAAGAAAGAGTTCCTTTTTTCTGCCCTTAAGTTAGCTACACAAGTTGTTCAGGGTGACTTTTCCAACACTCTTATTACTGCCGTCATCTTCCCCTAAAGCAAAATCTCATCATCCTGTTTCTCCATGAAACCAAACTAAACCAAAGCTTCAACTAACCCAGGGGTTTTTCAAGGTCCTTTATGACCTGACACCCAAATGCCTTTCTAGACTTATCTGTCACCACTTACCTTCTTCCCTTCCCAAACCCAGGGCTCATACCTGCCAGCTCTCCCAGTCCCCTAGTTCTTCTGGGGCATACCATCCCATTCCATGTGTCTGTGATTTTGCAGAGCCGAGAAACGCAGGACTGACTGGGTACCAGCAAGACACCATGCAGGCATTTTTACGAGCTTTCTCACACTAAAGCATACTAAAGGGCTGTGAACACTTCCCATGACACCTTACAGACCAGGAAATGGAGACAGAGACAGTTGAAATAAATTAAGCCAGGCCTAAGGGCTGATAAGTGCCAGAGGCCTGATTCTCACAATTGGAAGTCGAAGTTGACCCCACTCTAAGACCAGGCTCAGCTGGGTGCGGTGGTTCATGCTTGTAATCCCAGCACTTTGGGAGGCTGAAGCGGGTGGATCACCTGAGGTCAGGAGTTCAAGACCAGCCTGGCCAACATGGTGAAACCTCATCTCTGCTAAAAATATAAAAATTAGCCAGGCATGGTGGCACATGCCTGTAATCCCAGCTACTCAGGAGGCTGCGGCAGGAGAATCATTTGAACCTGGGAAGTGGAGATTGCAGTGAGCCAAGATCGTGCCACTGCACTCCAGCCTGGGTGATACGAGTGAAACTCCGTCTCAAAAAAAATAAAAAAATAAAAAAAGACCAGGCTGTCTTCGCTGAGGTTGCCTGCCTCCTTCTTGGGCTGGGGACCTCCCAGGACATGGTCCTGCTGCCACTCCTTCAGGGAAGCCCTCACCTTTCTGGTCCCTCCTTCGACCTCCTGTGGCACTTCGCACAGACTTCAGGGGAATCAGAGAGAAGATGCAGCAACAGGACAAAGTAGGCAGCGTTCAGAGCTGGGCAGCCCTGCTTGGAATCCTGGTTTTAAACTTCACTAGTTGGTGGGGAGTTCCCTCCTCTATACAGTATGGAAAGTGATGCCTCCACCTGCTGTGGCTGTGGGAGTGACTGACTGAATGAAGTAAAGCCTATTGGGTGCCTGGTCCACAGAGGGTTGCTTGTTCAGTGTTAGACACCCCACCCTTCCGTAGAATTGTTATGTTCCTGTTGTAAAGACTGGACTCATAGTCATGACGGCACACTGAGGGCTGGGGCTGGCTTTGCCATGAGGACCATGAGACCCTCTGCCCCACAGTCTGGCTCTGTTGTCCTTGGCTTACCCCAGAAGGAGTCTTACTGAACCTACAGTGCGGCTCATTCATCAGGCACCCAAAGGAAGCTCCCAGGTCTACATTCCAATCCCTGGCCCATCCCCTTTGAGCTGCAAAGGAGCCTGAGGCGCTGCTTTCATTACTTCAGTTTTACAGGTAATTAAGCCCAGGTGAGTGGGCTGTGTATTTTGTAAAACACACAGTGCCTTGTCTGAGTTTAGACTTAGGTTACACTCTGAGATGGTTTCCCAAAAGTAACTGAGAACACTGGTAAGAATGTCTTCTCTGAACACAGCCAGCCAGGAGTTTTTAAAGAGCTGGGGCTCACATGGACCCTGGACTATGACAGCTTAGCTATCAGACTGGTGACTTGGCCTTGAAGTGTATGACAGTTTACTAATGGGCTAGGAACTTTGCAGAGAAACACACTCAGCTTACACCCAGAGTTGAAGGTACCACTTTTGGAAACCAAACACCTTCCATTTCTCCTGGACGCTTATTCCAGAGTCTTCCTAATCAAGAACTACATTGTGCCTCAATTTCAAGGATGGTCAGCAGACATCATTTTCCCACCACTAAA